TAGCGATTGCTTAGGTGGAGGAAGAGGGAGATCAAGTCATGAAAGGAAATGGGGAATGACTGGTAAATGGGTATAGTGTTTCTTTTAGGGGTGATGAAAATGTTCTAAAATTGATTGTGGCCATGGTTGCAGAACACTGCATGCCCTAAAAACCATTGAATTATATACTTGAAATGGGTGAATTATATCTCAATCACGTTGTTAAAAATGAAGGAGAGAGGCTTATTGATAGATGAGTACAAGTCAATGTAAGTGGAATAGACCACTGAGTTGGCCTCATTTCTGGAGCTCTGCATGTTTTAGTATGCCTTAAATAGTACTGCCGTCTTTGGCCTTACCCAGCCCTACCTCATTTCATCTCTATGTATCCTCTGTTCTACAAGCAGTGTCTTGGCTCCACAGAGGGGACAGGATGCAGAGGTCCTGAATGTATGGTGGTGTCTCAAGAGACAGGTCCCTCTCCTGTGGTTAACAGGGTTGTTTAAGATCATTCAGTAAATCATTATTGAACATCTATTGTTCAGTATTATTTAATACCATTCACAATACTATGTGAGATACTTTTGGGGACTATAAATATAAATAAGAAATGGTTCTTCCTTCAAATTTAGGTACAGATTTATTTATAGTACAAAGTAAAAAGTTCATTAGAGCAAGGAAAATAAAATTCTATGAAACACAGAAGAGAAGAATCAATGACGCATCACAGAGGAGATAGAATTTGAGCTGGGCCTTGAATGAACAGTTTGGATTTCAAGATGTGGAGAAGGCCATTTAAACAATATCACGAGCAAAGGGACAAATAATAGAAATGTGGCATTTAAATTGTATAGTGATTTGTTAGCTGTGACACAAGTCTGAGAGATGGACAAAACCAGTTTCACACCGTCTGCCTTCTCTCAGTCTCTGCACAAGCACTCTGGCACACAAAGGGGACGAGATAAAGCTGTGAAGCTGATGTCCAATATTATAACTCTCGTCTCTTTTTTCTCTCTCTATCCAAGAGGTTAAGATCATTACTGCTACAAGAAAGACACATTGCTAATGCTACTGCCCTGTGCTGTGGTTGCTGGTTTTGACAGAGCCATGCATCAGGAGGAGTTTGCTGTCTGATGATATGGATCATACAGTCCCTTTTGGCCCAAAAGTTACAGAGTTCTGTGATCTAAAACATCTGTCAATAGATCAGAGATTTAAATGCAAAAAAAAAAAATGAAATTATAGGGGCGCCTGGGTGGCTCAGTCCATTAAGAGTCTGACTCTTGGTTGCAGCTCGGGTCATGATCTCATGCATGGGTCGTGGGATTGAGCCCCGCATCAGGATCCATGCTCGGTGGAAAGTCTGCTTGAAGATTCTCTCCCTCTACCCCTCCCCCCACTCTCTCACACTCTCTCTCTAAAATGAATAAATAAATCTTTTTAAAAATGAAATTATAGAAGTACCAGAAACATTCATGGGATAAAGCTTCTTAAAGAGTCTGAGAATAAAGTAAGATAAAAACAGAGAGGGAGGCAAACCAGAAGAGACTATAGGGAACAAACTGAGGGTTGCTGGAGGGGAATTGGGTGGGAGGATGGGATAATGGGGTGATGGGCATTAAGGAAGGCACGTGATATAATGAGCATTGGCACTGGATGTTATGCAACTGATGAATCACTAAATTCTACCTCTGAAACTAATAATGCACTGTGTGTTAACTAACTTGAATTTAAATAAAATCTTAAGAAAAATAAAAGTTTCTGAGAAGAAAAATATACTGTAGGCAAAGTCAAAGTTCAAACAAACTAGGAAAAATACTTGCAACACGTATGATGAGTAAAAGGATAATTTCCTTAATGTTCATCAACATGTCAGTAGCTCAAAGACCAGCAATTCCATGGAAATTGGCAAAGGACACAACCAAACAGCTCATAGGAAAAGAAATGTGGATGGCAATAAACATGAAAAGACTCACAACCTTACCCACAATTAAAAGAACTACAAATTAAACTACAAAGAGATTTTATTTCTCCTTCATTACAGTGGCAAAGATCAAAGATTTTTATTAAAGCCTGTGTTGACAAGGGTATAGGGAACAGGCAGGCAGGGCTGATTGGTATGTAAACTGTAGAACTTCTTTGCAGAGTAACTTGGTGATGATTATCAATGTTTAATGTACACATGGTGAAGTATTTAGGGAGAAGTGTACTGATATTTGCAACTTACTTTGAAATGTATCAAAAAAGATGGATTGATGGATGGATCAATGTTAATGTTAATGCTTGAATCCAAATAATGTGCATACAGATGTCCACTGTAAAATTCTGTCATTTTTTCTGTTTGTTTGAAAATGTTCACAATACAATGTTGGGAAAAAATAATATGCGTAAATCTGTGACTCAGCAATTCTTCTAAGAATTTACCTTGATATACTGGTACATGTGCACAAAGATATATAAATATATCATTCATGTATATATCATATATATATTCATGTGTATCATATATATCATATATGTATTCATATATATATATGTATTCATTACAGCCTTGGTTATAGTGATGAAGCATTAGGTACAACCTAAATGTTTTCAATAGGGAAATGGTTATATAATTAGCCATTTAGTGAAATGCCATGTTGCCATTAAAAAAAATAAGGCAGATCTCTTTAAAATTGTCTCCGAGGTATATATGAAAAAAGCAAGGTACAATATAGTATACTACTCTTTGATACTTTTTATATATGCATAATATTGCTCTGAAAGGATACAGAAGAAACTGGTAAGGCTGGTTTCTTTTTTTTATGTAACAGAATTTTTATTAAATATTACATAATTAAATAATCGTTTTAATATTAAATAATGTGAGGGGATCACTTCACATATCACACAAACTTTGCAAAATGTGAAAATGCAGACTCCTCCTACCTCCCTGGAAATCTTACCATTTGGAATACCTCATGCAGCACTCCCAATCTTTCAACATATAAATGGCTCTCTTTTTTCAAGTCTATCAAAGTATAATTTACCTACAATAAAATCCAGCCATTTAAGGGGCGCCTGGGTGGCTCAGTCATTAAGCGTCTGCCTTTGGCTCAGGTCATGATCCCAGCGTCCTGGGATGGAGCCCCGCATCGAGCCCCCGCATCGGGCTCCCTGCTCCGCGGGAAGCCTGCTTCTCCCTCTCCTACTCCCCCTGCTTGTGTTCCCTCTCTCTGTCAAATAAATTAAAAAAATCTTAAAAAAAAAAAAAATCCAGCCATTTAAAATGTACATTTCAGTGAGTTTTTACAAACGTATAGTTAAACCTGTTGTGTCTTGTGTTGTTAATTTTAGCCATTCTGACTTCTTTCAGAGAGGAGTTTTGGCAGGTGGGGAATGATGTGATTCAGGGTGGGAGAAAGAGTCACTGTATGCCTGTTGGTATTTCTTTATAGGGGTTGGGCGGACAGGAGAGGGGAGAGGAGTTTGTTTTGTTTTGTTTGAGAGGAGTTAATTTTTAGAGAAAAATGTATCGTACTATACATACTGGGAAGCAGTATAGCAGCTTGGTTAGGAACTCAGTCTCTGAAGTGAAACAGAAGATGATAGTTGGGTCTGGTTTCACTATTTATAGCTAAATGGTCTTAGGCAAATATTTAATCTCTCTAAGCCTCATGGAGAAAATAGAGGTACCCACTTCTTAGGGTTGATGTAAAAATTAAATGGATAATTCATGCAAAACACTCCATTTGTCAGCTATAACTATCTTTGTATAGTTTACATTTAGAATAATTATCATTTTTTTACTCCAAAAAGTATAGTTTTAAGTTTTCCTGAAACAAACTGAGTGTTGTTGGAGTGGGGGGTGGAATGGGAGGGATGGGGTGACTGGGTGATAGACACTGGGGAGGGTATGTGCTCTGGTAAGCGCTGTGAATTGTGCAAGACTGTTGAATCTCAGATCTGTACCTCTGAAACAAATAATGCAATATATGTTAAGAAAAAAAGAAGAAGAAGAAGAAGGTAGCGGGAGGGGAAGAATGAAGTGGGGGAAATCGGAGGGGTAGACGAACCATGAGAGACGATGGACTCTGAAAAACAAACAGGGTTCTAGAGGGGAGGGAGGTGGGAGGATGGGTTAGCCTGGTGGTGGGTATTGAGGAGGGCACGTTCTGCATGGAGCACTGGGTGTTATGCACAAACAATGAATCATGGAACACTTCATCTAAAACTAATGATGTGATGTATGGGGATTAACATAAGAATAAAAAATAAATAAATAAATAAATAAATAAATAACCACTTTGAGATACCACCTTACACCAGTTGAAAATAAACTAGGTGCAGTGGGCAAACTTTTATGTAAATGCTCATCTAACGACTGCTAAAACTTCTTTAGGTTGAGCAGGTGTGGCTCTAGAGAACTCCAATCCCTCTGTGCGTTTAATGCTGAGATTTTGTATAAAAGACATTCTATCATGAAAAAGGTCTCACCACATTAGGACCAAGAAAAAACAAAGTATAAGCAGGATGTGTCCCATCCCTGTCCCCATCTCACCATCTAATTTGTATATTTGGGTTAGCTATAGCTTCAAAGATGTGTTACTATTAACAAACACTAATTTATTAAAACAAAGAAGAAAAAACAAACAAACAAACAAAAAAACCATAATCTTTTTCTACTTCTTGCTTAGTATTTAGACTCTCTCCAACTCTTTTTTGAAATAGTTGTCTTTCTTCTTCCAGATACCTTAAGGTACATTATAAATTAATTACCTATAGAATTAGGAGTCTGAGACTTTCTATGGAAACCTACAAATAACAGTTAAAATTCTTCCATGTTATAATATGCTGGTATCTCACATAGTCGAAGACTAGCCTAGGTCTGATTTGTGGTTTTGCTTTTATGGTTTAGGAATCAAAGTGCCTCTCATTGTTCCATTACTTAGGAGTAATGGAATCAGTTAGTTACTATGGCTGCCTATAAAGCCTATAGTGATAATTGACCAGCTCTATATCCTTATTCTCTTTTTCCTCAGGACTTCATATCATCCACAGTCTAGATGAAGTCAATTTCATACAGAACCTTGTGTTTTACATTGAAGCTGCATATAAAACTGCTGTAAGTACTCATTTGGGAATTGATTTTAAACATATGTTTCTAAAAATACTGAACAACCCCCTCCTTCTCCTAATGCTGCCCCTCATAGTGAACCAATCTATAAAACTTCTGGCAGAAATTGCCTTCAGCCTCTTTCTTTGCTAAGCTCCATCATCCTCTGTTTGCCTTCTCTCCAAAGGAGTTACAGAGACAAAAGGGTCAAGATGCTGTGCTTCCACTCCTGTCAAATTCTGTAATATCTCATATCATGTATTTGGGAATCTGGAGCTAAATTGTCTTATTTTAGTGGTCTGTGGTCTTGAACTGGAGCAAGATGGCTAGGGAGTATAATGGGTAAGTTAGCTACTTAGACATAAAATTTAGTCATATGTTTAATATTATCTGTAGACATTCAGTGCTTACTATACAAAAAATAGTTCCTTTTTTTCACAACTACCATATGAGGTAGGTTTATATTAAATCATAATATATTTAACATCTCCTCTCTCAGGGATCGCTGTTCTTCATTGCATAATGTTCACTGTATTGAAAATGGCTGTGTCATAAATAGTCCAGTTTTTTAGTCATCTAATTGTTTAATTTGTTTAGTTTTTCGCTGGTTTAGATGGGAGCGTAAACCTGTGGCCTGTGACTCCATATTTGCCAAAAGGATAAGTTTAACATAGACATATTTGATGCAAGCAGACCTTATTTGTTGACTGATCACTTTGCCTTCTGATACCGTAGGCCTGCTAAGGTCCAGGGTACAGGTCAGGGTTCTCTGGCCTCTCCATTGCAGCCAGGGGTTGCAGCAGCAGAATTAATGATATGTGCCTTCTCATACTCTAATCTTGCTGCACAAATTAGGGTAGAGCTGGGTTTGGGAACAAGTGAGGCTAGCCATGGGATAAATATGGCTTACCTTCCAGAAGCTTCACTTTAACTCAGAGATTTGATATAAAAAGTAATTTAGGGTAAATATAGAAACAAACATAGGGGTGTGTGTGTGTGTATGTGTGCATGCACACATGCATGTGTACACATGGATATTTCCAAATTCTGTTCAATGAGAGGGCCTAGAAGCAATGACACCACAGTGACAATGAGCCAGTGCCTAGGTCTTGGATTGTAACTATTCGTAAAAAAAAAAAAAAAAAAAAAAAAAAAAAAAAAAAAAAACAGGTTTCCTTGTAGAAGTGATTGTTTCTAGGGCTGGGGGGAGGAAAATACAAGATGAAACTACAGTATCTTGTAGTGACAGAAAGTGAGGACGTGTTCAGAAAGAATGGGGCATGTCCAAAGGGTGCAGGAGCCAACCTGGAAGAACTCCCAATGGCTAAAGCTGGAACAATTTGAGCAACAAAACAAGTAATGATAATATTTTATTATAACCCAGAGAATAACCTAAATATAAGTTCATACTGATATAAACAAATGAATAAATGAATGAGGGAGAAAGGACAGCTCTTCCTTAGAGAAGAATTGCAATTAATGACTGTAGAGGTAATGAAGGAACTAAAAAAATCACCACTGAAGCACCACTGTAATAATTGTTACAGACAAGATTCACCAATGGATGCTACATTGGTGGGTAGATGTTTGAGGAGATACATGATATTTGCACAGTTGTAAAGTATGTTTCTTGAGATAGTTATTAATCATACGGGGGAAAATGGTTAACAGTAGATTGGAGAAACCCTGCAGACACCACCTTAACCGCGTGATGAAGGTTAACATCACCATAATAGGACATATCAACATCGTGTACTCCCTGATATGATGCAGTGAGAAGGACACAGCATAACGTCTGTAGAAATCTTGACCAAAAAATGCACAATCTTAATCTAATGAAGGGAAGACATCAAGTGAACCTAAATTGAGAGAAATCTATAAAATACCCGACCACTGATCTGAAAGTGTCAAGGTCATGAGAGGCAAGACTTGAGAAACTTTAACTGATTGGAAGAGACTAAGGAGGCATGACAAATGCAGCATGGTATTCTGGATTGGATCCTGGAACATAAAATGGTTATTAGTGGAAAAACTGGTGAAATCCTAACAAAGTCCATAATCTGGTTACTAGTATTGTACTAATGTTAATTTCTTAGCTTTGACAAGTGTTATGTCAGATGTTAACATTAGGGGAAGTTGAGTGAAAGGTATATGGGAACTCACTGTAGTATTTCTGTAACTTCTCTGTAAGTTTAAAGTTATTTCAAATAAAACAGTTCTTAAAAAGTAATTTTAAATGTTATAATTATATTATCGAGAGGCCATATACAGCTATGTTTAAGAATTTACACTTTGGACTGAGAGTACTTGGACTCTAATCCTAGCTCTGTCATGTATTAGCTGTGTGGCCTTGGGTGAGTCACTTAGCCTCTCTCTGCACCTTAGTTTCATCATCTATAAGATAAAAGGATTAAGGAAGATAGTAGTATAAAGTGCATAGGTTAGTGTATGGTACATTGTCAATGCCAACAGAGAGTAAAATTAGATATTTAAGATAAAACACTGGGGTGCTGTTTGGGCTCCATCTTCTAGACCCCCTGAGTATCTGCCTTGATAAAAAATTTTGAGAAGCATTTCTCTACATGGACTGAGTTATACTTCTTAGGCCTGATCAGCTGTTGAGGAGTCTTCCAACTTCTTAGAGGTCCCAGGAGAATTTGAAGCTACTAAGAAAAGAGCTACAGGGGCAACCCAACTCATTGGCATCTCCTTAATAGGTGTTGTGGGTACACATATTTATGGCAAATTAGCTACTATGTGTGCCTTTTATTCAAGAGTTGTGTCTCTAGTAAGCATTTAGTAGTAATGACTTGCTAATGGTATGCTGGTTATTTTATGCTAGGACTTTGGGATATGGGAACGTGGAGACAAGACCAACCAAGGGATCTCAGAATTGAATGCCAGTTCAGTTGGCATGGCAAAGGTAATTTTCCTTGCTTTGTTTGTACCAAGTGTGGGGTAAGGAAATACACCTTTATCATAGATAAAGGCTTAACATGAATTTGGATCATCATCAAATTGTTCTTTTAAGACCCAGGCAAAATTTGGATTCTCCCATAGAACTATGGACATGTAGGTAAAGATTTATTTCATTAGCTCCAGATTTGTATATCCAACTGCTTTTGTAGCATATCTCTACTTACATATACCACAGAGACCTCAGAGAACATATTTTTTTTAAGATTTATTTGTTTATTTGAGAGAGAGAAGTGAGTGAGTGTGCACATGAGGGCCGGGCAGAGGGAGAAGGAGAGAGAATCTCCAACAGTCTACCCACTGAGTACAGAGCCCAACACAGGGCTCGATCCCACAACCCCAAGATCATGACCTGAGCTGAAATCAAGAGTCAGACACCTAACCAACTGAGCCACCCAGGCACCCCAGAGAACATATCTTCAACTAAATTCATCTTCTCTACCATTACAAAAATAAAAAGAGGCCTTCTCCTTCCATACACCAGTTGACAAAACTTGATTGTCAGAGAACCATCTGTCAATCCTGAACCCCCCTCACTCTCCTGAATCCCACATATCATCATCATCATCATTAACTACCTTTCCACTTGACTCCATCTTTTCCTTCCCATTGCTACTGCCTTAATTTCAGCTCTTATTTTTGGAGACAGCAAGAAGCCATAAAATAGAATAGCAGGAATAGGATCAAACATATCCATTATAATGATAAATATGCATGACCTAATTGAAGTTTCCCCTCCAAAAGACACAGATTGATTTTAAAAGGATAATACACCCCTGTGTTTATTGCAGCATTATTTACAATAGCCAGGATATGGAAGCAACCTAAGTATCCATCTTATAGATAAATGGATAAAGAAGATGTGATACACACAATGCATTACCCAACCATAGAAAAGAATGAAATCTTGCCATTCATGACAACATGGATGGATGTAGAGGGTGTTATACTAAGTGAAATAAACCAGACAGAGAAAGACAAATAGCATATGATTTTACTTATATGTGGAATCTAAAAAACCAAAACAGTAAGAGCAACCTAAATTTCCAACAATTGTTAAATGGTTAAATAAATAAGAGAGAATATTATGTTGAAATAAAGAATTTTCATAATATGGAGAAACATTTATGCTCTAGTATCCTAACCAAATTTCATATGAAATGATCTCAACTATAGACAGATTTACATAAAGAAAACTAGTATGAAACATGCCAAAAATATTAGCATTATTTTGGGTGATTTTTTTGCCCTCTCTATACTTTTTTATGTTTTCAAATATTCTATAACAAGTATGTTATATTTTATAATCAGAAAAGCAAGAAATTAATAAGCAAATTCTATTTAAAAAAAAAATCTTCTGCCTTGGTGACTAGTAACTTTCATCTTTAAGTTAATCATAGTATCTTTTTAGGGTATTCACTTCCCTATGGAAACTCAGTGATGTGCCAATACCTAATGGCTATTGCATTTTAATATCTTACATCCACACAACTTCTAGCATTTCTTATGTGCTGGTATCATACTTGCAGCTACCCTACCAGAAGAGTGGTTTACTGTGCCTTGTTCAAATTACTTTTGAAGTGTGATGCTTGGCTTGATAATGCTATAACTTTATCTATGCTGTATCTTTTTTTAAATGCATTTTTGAAGAATTCAGCCGCTGGAGATAAAAATAATAAAACAAAATTTTAAAAACAAAATGTATTTTTATTGAGGTGTAATAGGCATATAACGTTGTGTAAGTTTGGAGTGTACAACATGTTGATTTGACACATTTTTATTGCAATATGATTACCACCAAAGTGTTAGGTAACACCTCTATCACATCATACAATTATCATTTTTTCTGTGATAGGAATGATTAATATTTGGTCTCTTAGCAACTTAGAAGTTTATAATACACTATTATTGTCCATAATCACTGTGCTATGCATTAGGTCTCCAGAACTTATTTATCTACTGGTTGCAAGTTTGTACCTTTTTTAAAAAAGAATTATTTATTTTAGAGAGAGAGAGACAGAAAGGGAGCAAATGGGGGGAGGGGCAGAGGGAGAGAGTCTTCAAGCAGACTCCCTGCTGAGCATGGAGCCCTGTGTGGGGCTCAATCCCACCACCTGTGAGATCATGACCTGAGCTGAAACCAAGAGTTGGGCGCTTAACCAACTGAGCCACCCAGGAGCCCCGCAAGTTTGTACCTCTAAACAACATCTCCTCAATTCCTCCATCCCCCAGCCCTTGGTAACCACCATTTTACTCTGTTTTTTGAATTTGACTTTTTAAGTTCCACATATAAGTGATGTAGTACAGTATTTGTCTTTCTCTAACTTATCTCACTTAGCATAATGACCTCAAGGCCATCTCTGTGGTCACAAAGGACAGGATTTCCTTCTTTCTCACAGCTGAATGATATTCCATTGAGTGTGTGTGTATCATGTCTTCTTTACCCATTCATCTGTTGACAGTGTTTCTGTATATTGGCTATTGTGAATAATGCTGCAATCAACAGGGAGTGCATATATCTCTTTGATATCCTCTTTTTATTTCCTTTGTATATGTGCCCAAGAGTGGAATTTCTGGATCGATCATATGATAGTCCTATTTTAAGTTTTTGAGGAACCCCCATAGTGTTTTCCATAGTGGCAGAACCAATTTGCATTCCATCCAACAGTGTATGAGGGTTCCTTTTCTCCACATTCCCAAGCCACTTGTCTTTTTGATAATAGCCATTCTTGCAGGTGTGAAGTGAAATCATATTGTGGTTTTGATTTGCATTTCCCTGTTGATTAGTGACTTTGAACATCTTTTGATGTACCTGTTGGCCATTCGTATGTCTTCTCTGGAAAAAATATCTATTCAATTCCTCTGCTCATTTCTTAATTGAATTGTTTTTTTATTATTGACCTGTATGAGTTATTTACATATTTTGGATATTAACCTCTATAGTTTGAAAATATTTTCTCCTATTCCATAGGTTCCCTTTTCATTTTTTTGATTGTTTCTTTTTCTGTGCAGGGACTTTTTAGTTTGATGTAGTCCCACTTATTGATTCTTGCTTTTATTGCTTATGCTTTTGGTGTCATCTAAAAAAATCATTGCCAAGACTAGTATAAAGGAGCTTTTTTCTTATGTTTTCTTCTAGAAGTTTTACAGTATCAGGTCTTATGTTTAGTCCATGTCAAGTTAATTTTTGTGAGGGTGTAAGTTAGGGGTCTGATTTCATTCTTCTGCATGTGGTTATCCAGTTTTCCCAACACCATTTGTTGAAGAGACTCTTCTTTCTGCATTGACTCTTCCTGGCTCCCTTGTCAAATATTCATTGACTGTAAATGCAGGGGTTTATTTCTGACTTTTATTCTGTTCCATTGGTGTGTGTGTCTATTTTTATGCCCATACCATACTATTTTAATTACTATAGCTTTGTAGTATAGTTTAAAATCAAGAGTGTGATGCCTCCAGCTTTGTTCTTCTTTCTTGTGATTGCTTTGGCTATTTGGTGTCTTTTGTGGTTCCAGACACATTTTAGGATTGTTTATCTATTTCTGTGAAAAAATGCCATTGGAATTTTGATAACAATTGCATTGGATCTATAGATGGCTTTTGGTAGTATGGACATTTTAACAATATTATTTCTTCCAATCCGTTGAACATGGGATATCTTTCCGTTTGTTTGTCTTTAATTTCTTTCCTCCAAGTATTGTAGTTCTCTTTCTTTTTTTAAAGATTTTATTTATTTATTTATTTGAGAGAGAGAGAGAGAGCACATGGGGGGGGAAGGTCAGAGGGAGAAGCAGACTCCCCGCCGAGCAGGGAGCCCGATGCGGGACTCGATCCCAGGACTCCAGGATCATGACCTGAGCCGAAGGCAGTCGCTTAACCAACTGAGCCACCCAGGCGCCCCAAGTATTGTAGTTTTCATTGTATAGCTCTTTTACCTCCCTAGGTAAATTTACCCTTAAGTATTTTATTACTTTTGATGCTATTGTGAGTGGGATAGTTTTCTTTATTTCTTTCTCCAGATGTTTTTTTTGTTGTTAATGTACAGAAGTGCCACTGATTTCTCTATGTTGATTTTATGTCCTGCAACTTTACTGAATTTATTGATTGTTCCAACACTTTTTGTTTGAGTTTACAATTTTCTGTATATAATATATCATCTTCAGATAATGACAGTTTTACTTCTTCCTTTCTGATTTAGATGCCTTTTATTTCTTTGTCTTGCCTAATTGCTCTAGCTAGGACTTCAAATATTATGTTGAATAAGAGTGGTGTGAGTGGGCATCCTTGTCTTGCTCCTGATCTTAGAGGAAAAGCTTTCAATTTTTCACTATTGTTTTTGTTTTTATTTGAATTCCAGTTAGTTTCAGGTGTGCAATATAGTGATCCAACACTTACAATACCCGGTGCTCATCACAACAAGTGTTAGCTGTGGGTTTGTTGTATATGGCCTTTATTATGTTCAGGTATGTTCCTTCTATACTGAATTTGTTGAGGTTTTTATCATGAATGGTTGCTTGCAACCTCCATCTTAACTGTCTCTGGGATAATATGGGAGGCAAAGAAAAACTCAGAGGCCCTTGGGAATAAAGAATGCTACATTGTTTTTGCTGTTCTGCTGAACAAATTAAAAATGACTTCATATGCACTGATATGATACTGGGGTACAGGGAGGAGAAATCTGTATCTTTTGCGGAAAATGTCCTTTCTTTCTTTGCTCTTCATAGGCAGCCCTGGAAGCATTGGATGAACTGGACCTGTTTGGTGTGAAAGGTGGGCCCCAATCAGTTATCCATGTCCTGGCTGATGAAGTACAACACTGCCAGGTAAGAGAATAATGAAGGACATTATAGAAAATGTTATTCTTACCCAGACTCGGGATGAGCATGGCCTTGAGAATAAAGAGACTCGAGAGTACATAATCTGATTTATTACCATGTGCCAAAAATGTATTATCCAAGCTTCCCATGCTGAGATAAGGCTGATATAGCATGAACTATAACATACGTCATAGTCCTGTTCTCTCAGCCATGTTTATAAAGGAATCTCATCATAGTATATGGAATTCTCCACTGTTGTCCTATCAAGGGTCTATGGGCTCTGCTCCTTTTCTAAATATACCAAGAGAACAAGAGGTGACTGATTTGAATGTTCTTCTTGATAGTGGCTTTGAAACATTCTCTTGTCCCCAGTTGGCTCTAGGCTTAGATGTTTGGAGATTAGACTGTTTAAGTGGTAAATATGTATCTTCACTTTTGTTTAGGGTTACTCTCTGTATTGAAAGAGTAAGGTTCTTCTCATTGGCAAGATGACTTTCTCCCCATCTTCAAACCCTGATTAGATAACTATGGTGAATATAAACTCATCTTCTCATTTCAAAAATGTGAAATTTTCCTTAGAAAAAATAAATGTCAGCAGTGTAGGAGCTGAGCTTTCCACATCCTGCTTTCTCAGCAGCTGCATTTTCTCTATCTTTATGCTTCAGTGGTTGCTAATGGCACAAGGGGATTGTGGACAGATGATGTTTAGAGTATTCTTTATCCATTAGCAGCTCTTTAAGATTCAGGATTGGGAAGCCTTGAGAGCAGTATTAAGACAAGAGATGATGTACAGAAATAGCTAGTTTTCTAAGCTCTCACTTAGAAATTATTACTGAATTATTATGGAATTCAGTGTTGATTATCATTGAATCATTATTATGGTATAATGTTTAGATTTTCTCCCGAATGATCCTTTTCCACATAGATCATTTGAAACTAAAGCTGTTAGTTTTATAATCCCAAGTTATTTACTAATGTGCCACTTCTGACTTCCTTTCTTCCTTTTTAGTCTATCCTTAATTCGATACTCCCCCGCGCTTCCACATCCAAAGAGGTAGATGCTAGTCTGCTTTCAGTTATTTCCTTCCCAGCCTTTGCAGTAGAGGATGGCCAGTTGGTAGAGCTCACAAAGCAAGAAATCATCACCAAGCTTCAGGTATGTCCATACGTGCCCTTCTTTTCTTTAAGGCTTTGACTTTAAGGAGAAATTAATGTCGTTGGGGGCTTCAAGTCAGTGATTTAACCAAATGATCAGGGTTAACACCCCCAGTAATAGAACATATTGACCAGTGTGGTATCTGTGCAAACAATGCATTATCTCAGTCTAATCATGAGAAAACATCAAACAAAACCAAATTGAGGGACATTCTACAGAATAACGGATGATCTCTTCAAAAGCGTCAAAGTGATGAGAAACAAGGAAAGACTGAGGAACTGTCACAGATTGGAAGAGACTAAAGAGACGTGACAACTGAATGCAGTAGGATCCTGAAATGGGTTTTGGAAGGGAAAAAAAGCCATTAGTGGAAAAACTGGAGAAATCCAAAGAAGTTTTGTACTTTGGTTAATAGTGTTGTACCAAGATTAATTTTTTAGTTTTGATAAATGTTCTACAGTTATGTAAGATGTTAATATAAAGGAACAGTGGATGAAGGGTAATGGGGACTCTGTACTATTTTTGCAACTCTTCTGTAAGTCTCAAATTATCTCAAAATTTAACAAAAAATATGTTGTCTTTTTTTAAAAAAAAAAAAGCCTGTTGCTCTCTTATGAGCTCTGTGAACAGGACCACATAGATTAGTAATTGGGCTGTTACAGACTTACCCTATGGTGGAAAGTGATGGAGAGGATATTAGAAACTCTGCTTTAGGAAAAAGCCTGTAACTTAGCCCTCACTTGAACTCACATTGATTGCTGAAATCAGTTTCTGCTGCTGGGCTGATATCAGAGGTTTTTTTAAAGAAATAACATTTTATTATTTTTTAAATCCTGTATCTGTGTTGGTGATAGGTCGGCACGTGTAGCTGTTGCAAAGGATGTATTTCTGATGCATTATATGACTGTACCAATGTACATGCTTCTGATTTTTTTTCTCTGCATTCCCAGGGGCGTTATGGTTGCTGTCGCTTTCTACGAGATGGATATAAAACTCCTAAAGAGGTAGATTTCTTTTCCCCAAAATGAGTCCACGGTAGAATAGTCACTACTGTCCGCGGTCTCATTCAGAGAAAATACTTGATGTATTATATGTTGGCTAACTGAACATCATAAAAAAAATACCCAAAAGAGAAAATACTTAACTCACTGGTGGTACTTAAAATAATCACTCAATAGGATAACAATAACTCATGTTTGCTACCTTCGTTGGGCTTAGTTGCCAAGTTCTGTTTGTGAGCCTTTACGGATTAAATAAAATAGAGGAAGGTGCAATTCTTCCACTTCTTGCAGCTGGTTGGTTTCAGGAAAGAGCTACTGATAGATCCTTAAATCAGTGGATGAGAGTTTAAGCAGAAACAGAATATTTGAATAGTCTCAAAGTATCTCCCTCCCCAATATTTCATAATTACAAAGGGGAAAAGCTTTCCTTTGTTAGGTCTTCCTGGCCCTCTTCCATCTCTTGCAGTTGGTTAGTTCTAAACAGAACCTGATCTTGAAAAGTTAACATCCTTCTGTTCCACTTGTCAAAAGTTCTCCACGGAATTATCAATGGAGAAAATTAAGTATTATTAAAGGGAATGAATGGTCAAGAAGGAGCACTTCACTGGCAATGTAGACGTTGTTTAGGGCTTTTTTTAATCATCGAGCTCAAACTCTTCTGGTCTACTTCCCTTCTTCCACTTTATTCTTTAGCCCTGTTTATTTCTAGCTCTACCAATCTATTAAAATTACACTCTGAAATATCATCAGAATCTCCCAAGTGATCATTCCAGTAGCCTTTACCCCATCCTTATTATACTTGACTTCTCTGTCGTACATTACTGTTCCCTACCTCTCCATTTTCTTGAAATTCTTTTCCCATTTACTTTATACAACACTACACTATCCTAATTCTCTTTTTGTTCTTTCCTTACCGAACTATGAGGGTTTACCAAGATTCTGTTCTTGGGTCCTTTGTTCACTGTATGTAGGTGCTACATCTGTAACTTGTGCTTCAAGTGTCACCTCTACAAGAATGATTCCCAAACCCTCATCTCTTGCTGTCCTTGTAAACATTTCTGTTTGTATGTTCTGCTGCTACCTCAAACTTAACATATAAAATCACACTCATGTTTATTGTAAATGAATCTCACTTCTTCATATACCTGCCTATGGTATCATTCTTATCCCAGTTCTACTAGTTACAAGTCACATCACAAAGTACTTGCTGAGGGAGGGGGAGTATGTAACGCCCTGCCTTCTCTGAAACAAACTATCAGAAGTGAAAGGCTGTATTGTGAGACCTCCGAACAAAAGACGTATGGCCGACTTTGCAGTGATAAGATAGACTTTTTTGTGTTTTTACCAGGATCCCAGTCGCCTATATTATGAACCATCTGAGCTGAAGTTATTTGAAAACATTGAGTGTGAATGGCCACTGTTCTGGACATACTTTATCCTCGATGGGGTCTTCAGTGGCAATGCAGAACAGGTAATATGCCAGAGAAAGAGCTTTCCAGAAGAATGGGTTTTAGTATGTCTTCGTCTTTCAGTTAATGGCTGTGCTGACCCTGTGACCAAATGGAATTCTTCCCTAATAGGGAAGAAACAGAGTCTTCTAGAGTCTTCTAGAGACTAGTACTTGAGGGTACTAGGTTAAGAGTTGGAAGGCCTTTATATTGCCATCACTCAGACTTGGCTTTTAACAAACATAGACAGCAAAATAGCAAGCCCTGTCCACTTGCCTCAGTTGTTACAGGTGCTTGAGTTTACTTCCTGGCTTTGTGTATATATATATATTTTAATAAATCTTGGAAATGATGTTCTGACTTTAGCCCCCCCAAAACAACAACAACCCATTTATACCTTGTCCTTGCCCCCCAAAACATGGTCATCATCGCTTTTTTGAGCTACATGAATAAAGTAATTTAGAAACCATCATTGGAAAATAGTGAGACTGGGAGATTTAATCAAGGAAGTTTAGTGTCAGGCATTCTACAAATTGGCTATCGTCTAAACTTGGACATAAATCCAACACATTTGGAAGTCACTTATACTTGGCTACATAAAACGCAATTTTGTGTAATTTGAATCCTTTGGCCAATATTAATCTGTAACTGCCAATATGAGTTTAAATAATAGGGTTACACCAAAGTTTCAGGGGCCACAAAGTGCTGTTCTACTCTAAATTTCAGTAAATTAAAGGATATCCCTTTTTGAGAAATCAAATAAGATAAGCAGTAATAGAAATAACCCACCCTATTTTGACCACCCTATTTTGATTCTGCCATTTTTCTCAGACCTCAAATTCCACAGGATTATTTATCAAAAACTTTTCTTGCTCAAAGAAAGATGTATTTATCAAATGTGCCTACGCCTACTAAGTACAAAGCACATTCAGGTTTTTTGGACTCTGGGGGTGGGGGAAAGAGTTGGGAAATCTGGATTCTTTTTTATTCTTTTTTTTTCTGGCTTCCCTCCTGACTCTTTTTTTTTTAAGATTTTATTTATTTATTTGAGACAGAGAGAGAGCACAAGTGGGGAGGAGGGTCAGAGGGAGAGGGAGAAACAGACTCCCCAGTGAGCAGGGAGCCCGACGCAGGGTTCGATCCCAGGACCCTGGGATCATGATCTAAGCCCAAGTCAGACCTTAACTGACTGAGCCACCCAGGCGCCCCATTCCCTCCCAACTCTTGAGTAGCCCAAATATAGTCATTGACTTCTTCAGATTCTCTGTATACAATGGAAATAGTTTTTTACTCTTCTTTAAAGAAGTTGTCTCTAAAGTTTTTTTTTTTTTTTTAATTTCACAGATGAAGATATGCCATAAGCACAAGGGACAGTCAGTTCGGCTATAATAAGACATACATGTTTCTTGAAAATCACCATGCTCTGCATATTTGAGAAATAAAAACTATAGGGCTCCTGGGAAAATGAGGTTGGGACACAACATTTTAAAAGTTTGCCAGAGGGCTCCTGGGTGGCTCAGTTTGTTAAGCATCTACCTTCCGCTCAGGTCATGATCCCAGGGTCCTGGGATCAAGTCCCACGTTGGACTCTCTGCTCAGCGGGGAGCCTGCTTCTCCCTCTCCCTCTGTCTGCAGCTCTGCCTACTTGTGCTCTCTCGCTCTCTGTCAAATAAATTAAAAAAAAAGAAGTTTGCCAGAAATACATACAAAATGATAGGAACCTGATAAACACAGCATCATAACTTTATGCATGTGAGATGGTTAAGAAGTACATAAATACCACAATAAATATGGCACTTGTAGCTTTAAAAAGACCTTAGGTTTGCTCGTGGGTATGTGCACCCTCGGTCCTGCCAGCTCACCTGACGGGCTCCCATGCCCGCCACCCTGTGTGCCAGAGGAAGGGAACAAGAAAGATGGCAAAAGAGTGAGGGGAAGGAGAAAAAGAACATAGAGCAGACAGGACGAATACAAAATAAACTGAGGAGAAAGGGGAAGAAATGAAAGAGAAGGGAAGGCACACAGAGTCAGGCAGCAGCTCAGGAGTGATTATGAACCGGTAGAAGGAGTGTTCCCTGAACTCAGACAAAAAGTTCTAACACGGAATGTGGATGGGTGGGGTTCATTGCCGTCCTGAGGCACGTCCATGTGCATGTTTTGGGTATTCTTACAGGGGCTCAGTTCAGCTGAGTGTACTCTCAGGTCAAGACTGTGCATAAACACATGTCAAATCTGGGTGATGCTCAAATCATTCCGTCATACATCAGACGCATTGGAATAAATGTGTGCTTTCAAAACGACTGTGATGGCAGAACTGACTGTTTTTTCCACCATAAATTATAGTGGGTTTTTTTTTCCTTTTTGTGTTTTGGTGTTTGCTTTTTATGTATTACTAATCTAACCTACAGCAAATTGTTAAGCAAAAAATGTGAACTTCACTACAAGAGAAACTTATTTTAGCAGTTAAATTCAGTTTTTAAAGCCCGTACATGTAAAGGCAAGAAGCTGTATTTCGAGTAGTGGATAAAAACAGGCCTGTGGGGCTCCTGGGTGGCTCAGTCAGTTAAGCAACTGCCTTTGGCTCAGGTCATGATCCCGGGGTTACAGGAACAAGCGCCGTGTCAGGCTCCCTGCTCAGCGTGGAGTCTGCTTCTCCCTCTGCCTGCCACTCCCCCTGCTTGTGCGCTCTCTCACTCTCTCTCTCTCTGTCAAATAAATAAATAAAATATTAAACAAACAAACAAACAAACAAACAGGCCTGCGGAGGCAGGCTGACTTGGGCTCAAATCTGGGCTCAACCTTACACTTGCTGTGTGATCTTCCACAAATTCATAACCTCTTTGAGCCTTACTTTTTCAGGAAAAAAAAGGCTTTAATTGCATATACCTCCTAGGATGGTTATTAAAATTAAAGGTGTTCTACACAACTAATGAATCATTGAACATTGTGTCAAAAACGAATGATGTATTCTATGTTGGCTAATTGAATTTAAATTAAAAAAATCAAATGTGTTAAAGCACACAAAATTTCTAGCATAGTATCTGGCCTGTAATAAGCATTTAGTAAATGCTACTCTCCTTTCTTCTCCCTTTCACCAGGTGAACATGCTCCTTTGCAACAGGAACTTCTTTGGCTACAACCCTCCCTGAGATCCCCAAAGGGAACTCTATAAACTTTTTTCTCCCTTTCTTTTATCTACAGGTTGAAGAATATAGAGAGGCTCTTGAAGCAGTCCTCATCAAGGGTAAAAACGGAGTCCCACTCTTGCCAGAGCTGTACAGTGTTCCTCCAGACAGGGTGAGTTGGACAGTGCCTTAATAACATGGAGCTGGGAGAAGGAGAGCCGGACTTCAACGGGACTGCCTCATTTGAGTCAGACGATTTTTAATTTTCTGATTTTAATGTTCTAAAACTTTGTCTTTTGGTATAAGATGATGAAAATATGATTCTAGGCCTTTGAAAAGAAATTTTTAAAGCAGTCTCAGGTATTGCGCCATTGCATAGTGAGACAAGAGTAAGACCAAACGTTAACAATGGTAGTTTCATGGGCGTATTACTTACCCTCAGACTCATCAAGATGCATACATTAAATACGTAGGGCCTTTTTATATGTCAACCATACCTCAATGTTTAAAAAAAAATTAATTGTTCAGAAATTGATTTTTTTAAAGATTTTTTTTTTTTTTTTGAGAGAGAGAGAATGAGATAGAGAGCATGAGAGGGGGGAGGGTCAGAGAGAGAGGCAGACTCCCTGCTGAGCAGGGAGCCCAACGCGGGACTCGATCCCGGGACTCCAGGATCATGACCTGAGCCGAAGGCAGTCGCTTAATCAACTGAGCCACCCAGGCGCCCCCCAGAAATTGATTTTTTTAAAAAGACCAAACCTTAAAGTTGAGAATGATACGGAGTTCAGTAGGCAGAACTAGAGCGGTGTTCTGTGCGAACTCTCAGGATTTGGTATTCTCTGCTTTGAGGCCAGTAATCTGGGATTGTTTGAGTAGATCAGGCTTGGAAAATGAAGTATGTCCTCATTTCCCCACAATGCCAGTTGGGAGTGCCATCGTTCCTCTTCTCCATTACGAAGGAGCATTAGCCATGGGAGAGTTGCAGTCTTGCATTCTGGTGGAGATGGATGGAATAAGCTACTAGCAGCATCGGCAGCATCACCTGAGAGCTTGTTAGAAATGCAGATCTCAGGCCTTCCTCCACACCTACTCGGTCAGAATCTGCCTTTGGACAAGGTCCTTAGGTGATTTGTATGTACACACATTTAGAGGAGCCCTTCCCTAGACTGTAGTCATAGTGCTGGACTTTTCAGTGCATTGCATATGTAACTGTTCTATAGGGTATGAGTCACAATCCACATTCAGCCTTTTTGTTGTCTAGTATCTTTAACCTTCTATCACCTTTTGTGTGGCTTCTTTATCTTTTCTTTTAGGTTGATGAAGAATATCAAAATCCTCACACTGTGGACCGAGTCCCCATGGGGAAGTTGCCTCATATGTGGGGTCAGTCTCTGTACATCTTAGGAAGTTTGATGGCAGAGGTAAGGGGAAACTTCAAGGCTCTTCCACTTTTTTTCTCCTTTAGTCGTTATAATAATGAGATTTGTGAGTAGCTCATTAAATCTGGATCTGTCTTTTGCCTTTTATATTCTGCCTTAATTATATATTTTCCTCCAGGTCAGGTGCTTAGAGTGGGAGCAGTGCCAATCCTTGACAAAAATCTTTTCCCCCTGGCAACCATGTCTCTCATACTGCCCAGGGCTTCCTACCTTGACACTACTTGGAGCTGCTCTCGGATCAGGGCCTCAATCTGGCCCTTTCAAAACAACCCCCTACCAGTGCCTTGCCTCGTGACTGATGCATGCACCTGTGCTTGATAGTAATGATGACTGATAATGGATTTAAGTACTAACTTTTTCAAGCAACATAATGTTTCATTATCTAATTGAGTAAACTGATAAGATAATTTTAGGCATCACGAAAAGTGGTTGGGAACATCATTGTTTTTAAAAATTTATTGTTTGCGTTCTTTTTGCTGTGGGGCTCTTTAAATGTTTTTTATGTTAAATTCGGTTGAAACAGTCCCATTTTTTGGCTTTTTTTAAAAAGATTTATTTATTTTAGAGAGAGCGTGCAAGCAGGGGGAGGGGCAGAGGGAGAAGGAGAGAAGTCCTCAAGCAGATTCCCCGCTAAGCACGGAGCCCCCACACAGGGCTTGATCCCAGGACCCCAGATCATGACCTGAGCCGAAATCAAGAGTCAGATGCTCAATGACTGAGCCACCCAGGCGCCCCTTGGTTGAAACAGCTGTCAGTGAAGCACTTGGGAATTTTGTCCTTAATGCCCAGCTTTTTTTGAAATTGTGAGCTATAGTAAGGGTTCTCTTTCTCAAAGTTTTCCAGATTTACTGACAAATCTATTTCCCCATTATAGGTTATTATGGTAAGCTATAACTAAGGCTCCTAGAAGATCCAAGGTGGGATTTAGCTATCCTTTCTGGGTCAGACTCTTTGACCTGTTTATGTATGACTATTTTCTGCAGCTGTTTCTGTTCACTGTTTTGGGTTTTTTCTCAGTTTTACTGAGATATAATTGACATACATCAATGTGAATTTCAGGTGTACAGCATAAAGGTTTGATTATCTTTAGTTGATGTTATGAACAATGTAGCAATAATGAGCAGAAAGATCTGTTTAAAATAATCCTGACCTGATGACTTTCTCATTCAATGCTATAAAGAAATTAAATATGTGAAAAAGGAGGAGATGAATGGCAATTTTTAAGGGTAAAATGGGTGAGTTCATCCCGTTTCATCAAGGACAGAAATTCAAGTCAAAAGATATCTGCTGGAGCATCTGGGTGGCTCAGTCAGTTGAGCATCTTCTCTTGGTTTCAGCTCAGGTTATGATCTCAGGGTCCTGGGATCGAGCCCTACGTTGGGCTCTGTGCTCAGTGCAGAGTCTGCTGGAAATTCTCTCCCTTTCCCTCTGCTCCTCCCCCTGCCCCCCTTCCCCCCCCAATCTCTCTCAAACAAATAAATAAAATCTTTTTTAAAAAAGATATTTGCTGAGCAGGACGTATAGCAGTCACATGAATAAATGAGAAAACAAGACTTCAATTATTGATAATAAGCATTGTGGTCTGATGGTCTAATTATATACATTCAGAGAGCAGGTGGAAGTGTAACTAAAAAAATCTTTGGGCTTATCACTTGTACCTCCTCTGTTTCCAACAAAGAACTTGTGGCCATCACTAGAAATTAATTCCAGATGAAATTAATTTGGATGTGAATTCAGGAGTTCAAACATGTTTTATATAGTGAAGGTATTCTTTTCCTTTCCATACCTGCCTCTCACATGTTATAGGGCAGGTTTTTGACACTGGTATATTGTTTCTCCTCAAACATTAGCTTTTTCTTTGAGAAATAGTAACCTGTCTTTTTATGGTTTTTGTTTAGGGATTTTTAGCTCCTGGAGAAATTGATCCCCTGAATCGAAGGTTTTCTACAGTACCAAAGCCAGATGTTGTGGTTCAAGGTATGGATTCTTATTCCCAGCAGCAGAAACTTTATATTAACGATCTGTTTTGGGCCAGTAAATGATGGTGTTATTGTTCATCTCATGGGTTTTGTTAGGCCTCAAAAAGTATACGGTGACCTCGGTTCTTTTTGGTTTCAAGATTGCTATTAATCTTAATCATGAACAAATGCTTAATAAATGATGTCATTTGGCACTCTTAACCACTTCTTACTTCTAGAAACTCTTTTCAATTGTCATGATATTGTAGCCTTTAGATTCTCTCTGCTTTCTTTCTGAACATTCTTTCTGTGCTTTTTCTGTTAGTATTCCTTTCTTCTCATGCCCTTTTAATGGTTGTGTACTTAATCTTATACTGTTGTCTGTCTGTATTTACACTCTGTGTTAGTTTGCTAGTGTTGCCTCCTTCATAATACATTTGCTTCCATGGATCCAACTATTCCTTCTTTGGAGAGTACTGGAAACCTTTATTTTTTGTTCCTAACAATTAACTTAAATTTTGAGGTATCTACTCTATGCAAAACGCTGGGCTAAACTCTATAAACATTATAAGAATTCTAGTCCCAATATCTATAAAACATCTTTATCACTGATAGTTCAAATGCAAAATTGACCTCTTTTGTCTCCATCCCATCCTTTCCCCCTCCCATGAAAAGCAGATCTTTCTACCCTCCTTGTCTCTTGTAATGAGCTCACTATTATTTTAGTCTCCTAGGATATAAAGTTCCAAGTGATTTTTGACTCTCCAACGACACAATCCAGTCTGGTACTAAGCTCCTATAAAACGTCTCTGGTCATTTGACTTTCGGGTTGGTGCTATATGGGAAATAATCCTGTGTATTTTACTCTTCCCTTCCCATGAGACACTTCGTTCTCCTTTGAGGCTTATGCCATCTGGCTGTATTGATCTCCTGGTTGCTCTAATTTATTCATTTAGCTTACAGACTTCCTCTTCTTCCCCAATTCCTGCCATAGTGCTAGATTTCAGCATCATAATAAGTGCCATCTAACATTTTAGCCTCAAAATTCTTGGATACCCATAATCCTAGTGGCATTTCCCTCCACCTCTGTGTTACCCACTCATTTTGAGGACCAAACTTTGGAACTGTTCCACCTCATATATCTTTAATTCCAGAAAATTCCAGTTTATGGTCATAGCTATGTATTATTTCAGTTTTCCTTTCTACCCATGGCGCTTGTCTCTATTTTCTCTGAGTCTGCTCTTCCCTATTTGCTGATCATTTAAATATCTGAATCACCCATGCACCATAATTCTACTACACCCACCAGAAAAATCATAGCCCCACATCAATCTTACAGTCTGCATTTTCTTTTTCTACTAAGTTTTTTATTTTAATTCCAGTATAGTTAACATATAATGTTATATTAGAATCAGATGTACAATATAGTGATTCAACCATCTTATACATTACTCAGTGCTCATCATGATAAGTGTACTCTTTAATCCCCATCACCTATTTCAACCATCCCCCCCCCTACCAACCTCCCCTCTGGTAACCATTAGTTTGTTCTCTATAATTAAGGGTCTCTTTTTTGGTTTGTCTCTTTTTTTTTTTTCCTTTGCTTTTTGTTTTATTTCTTAAATTCCATGTATGAGTAAAATCATATGGTATTTCTCTTTCTCTGACTGACTTATTTCATTTAGCAGTATACTCCCTAGCTCCATCCATGTTGTCACAAATGGCAAGATTTCATTCTTTTCTATGGCTAAATAATATTCTGTTGTATATATACACACACATATATATAATGGAATTATATATGTGTATATATATGCATATATATATATGCATATATATAATGAAATTATACATATGTATATGTTTAATGGAATATTATTCAGCAATAAAAAAGAATGAAATCTTGCCATCTATATATGTAAATATATGAAATCTTGCTATATATATGTGTATACCACCTCTTCTTTATATATTCATCTATCAGTGGACATTTGGACTGCTTCCATATGTGGCTATTGTAGATAATGCTGCCATAACATAAGGGTGCATGTATCCCTTCGAATTAGTATTTTTATATTCTTTGGTTAAATACCCAGTACTGTGATTACTGGATCATAGGGTATTTTTTTCTATTTTTAGCTTTTTAAAGAAACTCCATACTGTTTTCCACAGTAGCTACAGCAGTTTGCATTCCCACCAACAGTGCAAGAGCGTTCCTTTTTCTCTACATCTCAACAGCACTTGTTACTTATGTTTTTGATTTTAGCCATTCTGACAGGTATGAGGTGATTATCTCATCGTAGGTTTGCCTTGCATTTCCCTGATGATGAGTGATGTTGAACATCTTTTCATGTGTCTGTTGGCCATCTGTATGTCTTCTTTGGAGAAAGGTCTGTTTATGTCTTCTGCCCATTTTTTAATTGGATTATGTGTTTTTTGGGTCTTGACTTAGATCAGTTCTTTATATATTTTTATACTAACCCTTTATCAGATATGTCATTTGCAAATATCCTCTCCCATTCAGTAGCTTGTCTTTTAACTTTGTTGATTGTTTCCTTCACTGTGCAGAAGCTTCTTATTTTGATGGAGTTACAATAGTTTATTTTTGCTTTTGTTTCCCTTGCCTCTGCAGACATATCTAGAGAGAAGTTGCTATGGCCTAGGTCAAAGAGGTTGCTGCCTGTGTTTTCCTGTAGGATTTTGGTGGTTTCCTGTCTCACATTTAGTTCTTCAATCCATTTTGAGTTTATTTTTGTGTATGGTGTAAGAAAGTGATCCAGTTCCATTCTTTTGCATGTAACTGTCCAGCTTTCCTAGTACCATTTATTAAAGAGACTGTCTTTTTCCCACTGGATATTCTTTCCTCCTTTGTTGAAGATTAACTGACCATATAATTCAGTTTAATTCTGAGTTTTCTATTCTGTTCTATTGATCTATGTGTCTATTTATATGCCAGTACCATACTGTTTTGATCACTACAGCTTTGTAATACAACTTGGAGTCTGGAACTGTGATACCTCCCATTTTGTTTTTCTTTTTTTTTTTTTTTTAAAGATTTTATTTATTTATTTGAGAGAGAGAGAATGAGAGAGAGCAAGCACATGAGAGGGGGGAGGGTCAGAGGGAGAAGCAGACTCCCCGCCGAGCAGGGAGCCTGATGCGGGACTCGATCCAGGGACTCCAGGATCATGACCTGAGCCGAAGGCAGTCGCTTAACCAACTGAGCCACCCAGGCGCCCCCATTTTGTTTTTCTTTTTTGAGGTTGACTTGCCTATTTGGGGTCTTTTGTGGTTCCATACAAATTTTAGGATTGTTTGTTCTAGTACTATGAAAAATGCTGTAGGTATTTTGATAGGGATTGCATTAAATCTATAGATTGTTTTGGATAGTTAAAATAGATATTTTAGCAATATTTGTTCTTCTAAACCATGAGCATGGAATGTCTTTCCATTTCTTTGCATCATCTTGAAATTCTTTCATCAGTGTTTTATGGTTTTCAGAGTACAGGTCTTTTACCTTTTTGGTTAGGTTTAGTCACAGATATTTTATTGTTCTTGGTGAAATTGTAAAAGGAACTATTTTCTTAATTTCATTTCCTGTAGCTTCATTATTAGTGTATAAGGTGCAACAGATTTCTGTACATTGATTTTGTGTCCTGCAACTTGACTGAGTTCATTTATCGGTTCTAGTAGTTTTTTGGTGGAGTCTTTAGGGTTTTCTTTTTTTTTAAGATTTTATTTATTTATTTGATCGAGAGAGAGAGAGCACAAGCAGGGGGAGCAGCAGGCAGAGGGAGAGGGAGAAGCAGGCTCCCCGAGGAGCAGGGAGCCATATGTGGGGTTCGATCCCAGGACCCTGGGATCATGACCTGAGCCAAAGGCAGTAGCTTAACCAACTGAGCAACCCAGGCACCCCTAGGGTTTTCTATATAGAGTATCATGCCATCTGCAAATACTGTAAATTTTATTTCTTCCTTACCAATTTGGATGCCTTTTATTTCTTTTTGTCATCTGATTGCTATAGCTAGGACTTCCAGTACTATATTGAATAAAAGTGGTGAGAGTGGACATCCTTGTCTTGTTATTGACCTTAGGGGAAAAGCTCTCAGTTCGTCCCCATTGAGGATGATGTTACCTGTGGGTTTTTAATAAATAGCCTTTATTATGTTAAGGTATGTTCCTTCTAAACCTATTTGGTTGAGGGTTTTTATCATGAATGAATGTTGTACTCTGTCAAATGCATTTTTTGCATCTATTGAAATGATCATATGGTTCTTACCCTTTCTCCTACTGATGTGATGTATCACATTGATTGATTTGCAAATATTGAACCACACTTGCATCCCAGGAATAAATCCCAATTAATCATGGTAAATGGTCTTTTTAATGTATTGTTGGATTTGGTTTGCTAGTATTTTGTTGAGGATTTTTGCATGTATATTTATGAGAGATATTGGCCTCTAGTTCTCTTTTTTTGTGGTGTCCTCATCTGGTTTGGGTATTATGGTGATACTAGCCTCACAGAATGAATTTGGAAGTTTTCTTCCTCTTCTAACTTTTGGAATAGTTTGAGAAGAATAGATATTAACTCTTCTTTTAATGTTTGGTAGAATTCGCTTGCAAAGCCCTCTGGTCCTGGACTTTTTGTTTGTTGGGGGTTTTTTCGTTACTGATCAGTTTCATTGCTGGTAGTTGGTCTGTTCAAATTTACTTTTTCTTCCTGCTTCAGTTTTGGTAGGTTATATGCTTCTAGGAATTTATCCATTTCTTCTGACTTGTCCAATTTGTTCGCATATAGTTTTCCATAATGTTCTCTTAACAATCCTTTGTATTTCTGTGGTGTCAGTTGTTATTTCTCCTCTTTCCTTTCTGATTTCCTTTATTTGAGTCTTCTCTCTTCTTTTCTTAGTAAGTCTGGTTAGAGGTCTATCAATTTTGTTGATCATTTCAAAGAACCAGCTCCTGCTTTCATTGATCTGTTCTATGGTTTTATCAGTTTGTATATCATTTATTTCTGCT